CAACAGAGAACTAACAGAGAGCTAAAAGAGAACCAACAGAGAGCTAAAAGAGAACCAACAGAGAACTAAAAGAGAACCAACAAAGAATCAACAAAGAACCAACGGAAAACTAACAGAGAGCTAAAAGAGAACCAAAAGAGAGCCAACAGAGAACCAGCAGAGAACTAAAAGAGAAACAAAACAGAACAAAAAGAGAGCCAACAGAGAACCAGGAGAGAGCCAAGCATAGAACCAACAAAGAACTAACAGAGAGCTAAAAGAGAACCAACAGAGAACAAACAGAGAATCAGCAAAGAGCCAACAGAGAACCAACAGAGAACAAGCAGAGAGGCAAGCAGAGAGGCAAGAGACAACCAACAGAGAGCTAAAACAGAACCAACAGAGAACTAAAAGAGAACTAACAAAGAATCAACAAAGAACCAACTAACAGAGAGCTAAAAGAGAACCAACAGAGAACTCAAAGAGAACCAACAGAGAACCAAAAGAGAGTGAACAGAGAACCAACAGAGAACCAACAGAGAACCAGCCGAGAACCAACAGAGAACCAACAGTGAACTACAAGAGAACCAACAAAGAACCAACAGAGAACCAGCAGAGAACTAAAAGAGAACCAACAGAGAACCAAAAGAGAGCCAACAGAGAACCAGCAGAGAACCAACAGAGAACTAAAAGAGAACCAGCAGAGAGGCAAGCAGAGAGGCAAGCACAGAACCAACAGAGAACTAACAGAGAGCTAAAAGAGAACCAAAAGAGAGCGAACAGAGAACCAACAGAGAACCAACAGAGAACCAGCCGAGAACCAACAGAGAACCAACAGTGAACTACAAGAGAACCAACAAAGAACCAACAGAGAACCAGCAGAGAACTAAAAGAGAACCAACAGAGAAACAAAAGAGAGCCAACAGAGAACCAACAGAGAACTAACAGAGAGCTAAAAGAGAACCAAAAGAGAGCGAACAGAGAACCAACAGAGAACCAACAGAGAACCAGCCGAGAACCAACAGAGAACCAACAGTGAACTACAAGAGAACCAACAGAGAACCAGCAGAGAACTAAAAGAGAACCAACAGAGAGCCAACAGAGAACCAACAGAGAACCAGGAGAGAGCCAAGCATAGAACCAACAAAGAACTAACAGAGAGCTAAAAGAGAACCAACAGAGAACAAACAGAGAATCAGCAAAGAGCCAACAGAGAACCAACAGAGAACAAGCTGAGAGGCAAGCAGAGAGGCAAGAGACAACCAACAGAGAGCTAAAACAGAACCAACAGAGAACCAACCGAGAACCAACAGAGAACTAACAGAGAGCTAAAAGAGAACCAACAGAGAACTAAAAGAGAACTAACAAAGAATCAACAAAGAACCAACTAACAGAGAGCTAAAAGAGAACCAACAGAGAACTAAAAGAGAACCAACAGAGAACCAAAAGAGAGTGAACAGAGAACCAACAGAGAACCAACAGAGAACCAGCCGAGAACCAACAGAGAACCAACAGTGAACTACAAGAGAACCAACAAAGAACCAACAGAGAACCAGCAGAGAACTAAAAGAGAACCAACAGAGAACCAAAAGAGAGCCAGCAGAGAACCAACAGAGAACCAACAGTGAACTAAAAGAGAACCAACAGAGAACCAGCAGGGAACTAAAAGAGAAACAAAACAGAACAAAAAGAGAACCAACAGAGAACCCGGAGAAAGCCAAGCATAGAACCAACAAAGAACTAACAGAGAGCTAAAAGAGAACCAACAGAGAACTAAAAGAGAACCAACAAAGAATCAACAAAGAACCAACAGAGAACTAACAGAGAACTAACAAAGAACCAACAGAGGACCAACAAAGAACCAACAGAGAACCAGCCGAGAGCTAAGGATAGAACCAACAGAGAACCAACAGAGAACCAGCAGCGAACCAGCAGCGAACCAGCAGAGAACCAAGAGAGAACCAGCAGAGAGCCAAAACAGAGCCAACAGAGAACCAACAGAGAACCAGCAGAGAACCAACAGAGAACTAAAAGAGAACCAACAGAGAGCTAAAAGAGAACCAGCAGAGAACCAACGGAGAACCAGGAGAGAGCCAGGAGAGAGCCAAGCAGACCACCAACAGAGAACCAACAGAGAGTTAACAATTAACCAACAGAGAACCAACAAAGAACTAAAAGAGAACAAGCAGAGAACTAAAAGACAACCAACAGAGAACCAACAGAGAACCAGCAAAAAAATTAAAAGAGAAACAAAACAGAACAAAAAGAGAACCAACAGAGAACCAACAGAGAGCTAAAAGAGAACCAAAAGAGAATCAACAGAGAACCAGGAGAGAGCCAAGGATAGAACCAACAGAGAACCAGCAGAAAACTAAAAGAGAAACAAAACAGAACAAAAAGAGAACCAACAGAGAACCAACAGAGAGCTAAAAGAGAACCAAAAGAGAACCAACAGAGAACCAACAGATAATCAACAGAGAACCAGGAGAGAGCCAAGGATAGAAACAACAGAGAACCAACAGAGAACCAGCAGCGAACCAGCAGCGAACCAGCACAGAACCAACAGAGAACCAGCAGAGAGCCAAAAGAGAGCCAACAGAGAACCAACAGAGAACCAGCAGAGAACCAACAGAGAACTAAAAGAGAACCAGCAGAGAGGCAAGCAGAGAGCCAACAGAGAACCAACAGAGAACCAGCAGAGAACCAACAGAGAACTAAAAGAGAGCTAAAAGAGAACCAGCAGAGAACCAGCAGAGAACCAACGGAGAACCAGGAGAGAGCCAGGAGAGAGCCAGGAGAGAGCGGAGCAGACCACCAGCTGAGAACCAACAGAGAACCAGAGGAGAATCAGCAGAGAACCAACAGAGAGTTAACAATTAACCAACAGAGAACCAACAAAGAGTTAACAATTAACCAACAGAGAACCAACAAAGAACCAACAGAGAACCAACAGAGAGTTAACAATTAACCAACAGACAACCAACAAAGAACTAAAAGAGAACCAACAGAGAGCTAAAAGAGAACCAAAAGAGAGCCAACAGAGAACCAGGAGAGAGCCAAGGATAGAACCAAAAGAGAACCAACAGAGAACTAACAAAGAACCAACAGAGAACCAGCCGAGAGCTAAAAGAGAACCAACAGAGAATCAACAGAGAACCAGCAGAGAGCCAAAAGAGAGCCAACAGAGAACCAGCAGCGAACCAGCAGCGAACCAGCACAGAACCAACAGAGAACCAGCAGAGAGCCAAAAGAGAGCCAACAGAGAACCAACAGAGAACCAGCAGAGAACCAACAGAGAACTAAAAGAGAACCAGCAGAGAGGCAAGCAGAGAGCCAACAGAGAACCAACAGAGAACCAGCAGAGAACCAACAGAGAACTAAAAGAGAGCTAAAAGAGAACCAGCAGAGAACCAGCAGAGAACCAACGGAGAACCAGAGGAGAATCAGCAGAGAACCAACAGAGAGTTAACAATTAACCAACAGAGAACCAACAAAGAACCAACAGAGAACCAACAAAGAACCAACAGAGAACCAACAGAGAGTTAACAATTAACCAACAGAGAACCAACAAAGAACCAACAGAGAACCAACAGAGAGTTAACAATTAACCAACAGAGAACCAACAAAGAACTAAAAGAGAACCAACAGAGAGCTAAAAGAGAACCAAAAGAGAGCCAACAGAGAACCAGGAGAGAGCCAAGGATAGAACCAAAAGAGAACCAACAGAGAACTAACAAAGAACCAACAGAGAACCAGCCGAGAGCTAAAAGAGAACCAACAGAGAATCAACAGAGAACCAGGAGAGAGCCAAGGATAGAAACAACAGAGAACCAACAGAGAACCAGCAGCGAACCAGCAGCGAACCAGCACAGAACCAACAGAGAACCAGCAGAGAGCCAAAAGAGAGCCAACAGAGAGCCAACAGAGAACCAACAGAGAACCAGCAGAGAACTAAAAGAGAACCAGCAGAGAGGCAAGCAGAGAGCCAACAGAGAACCAACAGAGAACCAGCAGAGAACCAACAGAGAACTAAAAGAGAGCTAAAAGAGAACCAGCAGAGAACCAACAGAGAACCAGAGGAGAATCAGCAGAGAACCAACAGAGAGTTAACAATTAACCAACAGAGAACCAACAAAGAACTAAAAGAGAACCAACAGAGAACTAAAAGAAAACTTCTGCTTTTTGATATTTTATTGTGAAACATCTGCTGTGACCGACAGTAACCCCGGTTTAACGGTGCCCGGAAGCTGACTGTGACCGGAAATACAGTAATTGCCCACTTTACAAAATAAAAGCCGGGCAGTTTGTCAGATGAGCGGTAAATAAATAAATATTAGTTACACTGATAAGACCTGAAGATTCATCCAGATAAATATCTAAAAGATATAATCAATACAGTAGGAATAAACTAATCAATAACCAGTACAACCATTGATCAGACTACAGTTTGATCTGTTTTTCCTTAAAGACTGAACTCAGTTTCCAATGCTGGATTGACCTTTAAATATGTTTTAATTATTAAATACAGAACAAACATGAGAAAGAAGAGAATGCATCAATATAAAGTTAACAGGATCCATTCAGTGGTTCTAATAAGTAGACAGTATATCAATAATTATATGTGTGGTCTGCAGAGTGTATTTAAAACTGTATGTAGTAATTAGACTTAGACTTCTCTTTATTGATCGTTTTGGGATGACTCCCGCAAGGAAATGGAATTTCCAGCAGCTTACAAAACAGTGTAGAAAAATAAAGAGGTATGAAAAAAATACAGTACAAGATAAACAATATAAACAATAAACTCTTTGCTAGATATAGAAAGCAAATAATTATCAGCTTCACATTGCAGATCAGATTTATTCTTTTAAATAAAAATATTCTACCTGAGCAGTTCTGAATATTAATCCAGAAAGCTTTCAGCTGATTTCAGTGAATATAATAATAAGAGTTTTAAAGAAAGCTCTAAATCCGTGTGGATGAATGTGTGTTTTATTTTGAAGGGCCTGAGCGGAAGCAGTGTGGGTCATTGTCGGGGTGCTGCGGGGAGAGTTTGTCCCGCAGCTGCAGCTCGGTGCGGGATCAGATGCTGCTGAGAGGAGGTGGAGGAGGACCGGAGAACACCGACACACCGGTAAGAGAGCTGTGATCAGCTCAATCACTTTAATCAATAATCTGTTGATCGATACTTTGTTTCTGCTGTTTGACTTTAAACTGATCCGTTGTCAGTTTGTCTCTTTTTATTCTGGAAATCATTTAAAGTTCAACATTAATGAGAAACAGCGCAGGGCGACTGTAAAGCTCTGTTCAATGTCAGCAATTGATCACAATGTCAGCAATTGATCACAATGTGAAGTATTGATCACAATGTGAAGTATTGATCACAATGTGAACTTTAATGTTCGAACACACAAAAGAAAAGTTCCTTTATGGAGGAGCAGTTTGTGTGTTGGCCGCTGGGGGCGCTGCGGGAGTTCATCACTGATTGAATCAGTTTAAAACAATCAATATAATCAATAATATCAGTTATTTTCACTGATGACCTCAATGTTATTTGTGTAGATGGATACAGATCGATTTCAGTGTAAATACTAACGGATCAATTCAAACATTAAGTTCATGATTTATGATCAACGTTTGTTTCTTTTCCTGTGTCTGATAATCCATAAATATAATCAATCAATCAATCAATCAATAACGGCTAGAATTCAAAAAGACAGACAGACAGACAGACAGACAGCAGTGATTGATGATCAGAATCTGCTGATTCTGATCAAACAGCTGATTTCATCATCTTCATCTTCACTGAGTTCAAGGACACTGATGAGAGTGTGTGTGTGTGTGTGGGGGGGGGTCCATTAACACCCCTCCACACACACACACACACACACACACACTCATTATCCATTATTCATTTCCTGTGTTGTGACTGAACGATGAGCATCAAAGTGGTTGGGGGGGGGGGGGCGTCTGAGTGCATTTGCAAGTGTGTACCCTCCCCCCCCCAACCATCCTCCTCGTCTTCCTCCTCTAACCCCCCACCAATCAGTCTGAAAACTGAACACTGATAATTCCTGATGATTCATTCTGTGGTTATTGATTAGATCAATATATTGGAGCTACATTTAAGAATCAGTCATTGGAGTGAACGTTCAGACGTTATATTTCTTCAGCATTTTGTTATTGATCTGTGTTTATGTATTAATCATCTACATATTTATTTATATGATCAATACATAACCACAGCACAATATCTGAACATTCACACCAATGACACTGAGCTCCAATATATTGATCAGATCAGTAACCTGAGTATCAGCCCACTGGGAGTTTAAACGTGACTGCTGTGGATCATCAAACTGTTGACTATAATGTGTGAGTTAAAGATAATCAATATCAGCTATTGATCAGAGGTCAGTATCTTTACATAATATCACTTATTTTGAGCATCCATCAAAGTTAGATTATTGATTATTTTCATCTGGATTGATCGATAGATATAATTGAGTATCATCTGCAAAATAATGGAACTGGTCCAAGAACAGAACCTTGTGGAACTCCATATTGATCAGAATCAGACTGATATGATAATTGATTTTTGATATTGATCAGTTGAGTATTGATGTTGTGCCTGATCAGCAGCTCCAGTATCAGAGCTCTAATATCTGTGACCTTTGACCCCGACACCTTCGAGCCGTGTGCTGACTCAACCTGTCTGTGTTTAACGCAGAGAGAGCGACAGCTGCCACTCACTGAGAGAGAGAGACAGAGACATGTCTGTCTCTACACAGCTGGGTCTGCTGCTGTGGAAGAACTTCACCTACAGACGCCGACAGACGGTCAGTGACACACACACACACACACACACTGTACGCACACACACTCTGTACGCGCACACACACACACACACACTGAATGCACACACAGACACACACACACTGTACGCACGCGCACACACACTGTACACACACACACACACACACTCTGTACGCGCGCACACACACTGTACACACACACACACTGCACACACACACTGTACACACACTACGCGCACACACACACACACACACTGTACACACACATACACACACACACACACACACACACACACACACACACACACACACACACACACTGTACACACACACACACACTGTACACACACACAGGTCATAGGTCAGAGACATCCTGATAAAAGCTGAGGCATCATAGGAGAACTGGAGAGGCCATTTTGAATGAAATAATCAATAATATTATAATCAGAAGCTCTCATTCCCTGTGTGTCCATCGATCAATAACTCCTCATTAATTATGAAAGACTCCTAATGAGAACGACAGGAAGCTGCTTCCTGTTATTGATGAGCACTGTTGCTTCCTGTCAGTCTTACTGTGTGTTGTAGGAATTATCAGTCTCGTGCTTTGTTGATTCCCGTATTGATTGCTGATCAGTTTTCTGTGTGGAAAACAGGTTCTCAGCATCAGTGCAGCCGTTTCATGATCTCTGAGTCTCAACACGGAGTAGAGGCAGAGTGGGTCAGGATAGGTAGCCAACCCTGAACCCTGAACCCAGACCTGAACCCTGAACCCTGAACCCTAAACCCTAAACCCTAAACCCTAAACCCACAGTGCTGGTAGTGGTAGTTTCTTTCTTTCTTTGGATCGTTTCCTCCAGTCTCCTCCTCGACGTCTTTGTCTCCAGCAGACTGAAGAATTTGATGACTTTGTTTTTCAATGTTCCATTGATCGAAGAATCGATCAGTTCATAGGAATCTGATTCTGATCGATCGGACAATTTGGAACCGGTTCTCAATTCTAATTCCTGCTGTGCTGGTAATGTTATTGTGTTATTGATGTTGTTGACGCTGTTGTTGTTGTTGTTGTCCCTCAGCTTCAGCTCCTGGTGGAGATCATCTGGCCACTGCTGATCTTCTTCATCCTCATCGCCGTGCGGGTCAACTACCCTCCATATGAACAGCATGAGTGTGAGTTTAACAACCTTTATTGACACGTCTCGTTGAACACAGACAGACAGACAGACAGAATGTCTAATGATCTTCATCCTCATCATCATATGTGTGTTTGTGTACTGTTGGATTAGGAAGTCAGTCAGGGCCAGGTGCATGCTGGGAGTATTTAATCAGATTGTAAGCAGTAGTGTTCAGACCCTTGCAATTTTAAGGATGTCCGATATCATATGCAGCTTGACCCCCGATCGCTCGATTGATTCCTGATTATAAGTTATTGATGGATAGTGGAACAGCAAGTGCAGTGCTGGCTGAATGAAGCTGGTTTAAACTCTGGCTGTTGATTTATGACTTTATGGCGTTTTATCTGCGGCTGTAATGTCATTATCAAACCCGGTGAAGGTCACAGCACCGCGTTCAGGATCCATAAAGTCCCGATAGAGTGACATAAGAGCTCAAACAGGTCAGCCTCTGCTGTTGGGGATAATCAATAATCACGTTGATCAGTTCAGATTCTAAACAGAGCTGCATCCAGTCTTTATGCTAAGCTGAGCTAACCATGAGTGTTTGATTGGTTTAACGTTTCATATGTAAGAGCTAGTTCATTGTCTGTGGCTCTTTTTCCCAACGTGGTCCAACAGTCAACGGTTCGGAACCGGTTCCTAATGTCAAACCAGGTCCAATGAAAGGAGGTGGAAGATACCTGACAGAAAGACCTGGTTCGGCATTAGGCACCCACTCCCAACCGGCTAAATAATGCAATAATGCAAAGTAAGGCAACATTTCTGCCATTTTCAAAGGGATCCATTGACCTCTGACCTCAGGATATCTCTACACTGTAGAATAAAGTGCAGTAGTTGATGATTTAAGTGATCTTTTGTTAATGCTCCATTAAAGAAAAGGATTGAAGGTCTCTCAGTAGCAGCAGATGAATTCTGGAGCTTCAGGCGATGTTTTTTAGCAAAGGAACAAAAGCTGACAGACTGGAAACCAAAAGCTCCTCATTCTCCTCCCCTTTCTCTGAGCTGTGACAGTGTGCCAGTCTCTGAATAATCCCCAGTTCAGAAGAGATCAAGTCTGATCACTTGTGGCTGAAAGTGAGACCACATTAACCCTTGTTGAACTGCGTCTCAGGAAGCTGCTTCCTTTCCTGTTTCCCTCTGAAAGCAGAAGGTCTGTTGGTTCTGCTGCAGTCGGCTGTTTGAGGAATATTTCTGCTGTGATTCATGCAGCATGTGAGCTCCGACATGTTGAAACTCGCAGCGGCTCTCGGAGAGTTCAGCTTTACACGACATCTCCACCGAGTCTTTCCACAGATGGTTTCACACACAAACATCTGATCCATCCACTGGAGGACCTAAAGGTTTAAATCAGACTGTTCTCTCACATGTGTAGGAGACAGGAGTTGAGCTGGGATTGGTTTGTTTCCTAACTGCTGTTGAGATAGTGAAAGTCTGTGAGGATTACAGGGTGTGAGGGTGTAGGTTAGGCCAAAGAAGAACCCGTTAAATATTTGAGTGGATCTGAATCACATTATGTTTCTTTGGCTAAAAGAAGTGAATTTGTTTCTCGTGTGCGAACCCGTCATGATGAAAGTGAATGCTTAAACAGCGCTGTAGAAATAAACGCAGTATGGATGTCAGAAACAAGCAATCTGACATCTGATTTTTATATTCTTTTCCAAGTTGGAACTCGTCATAATGAAAGTGAAAGGTGTAATTTCCTTATCCAATGTACGTATAGCTCTATAGGGGCAAACCTTCTCCAGTACTGCAGGGGGTACTTGACTTCCTGAAATAATTATATAATAAGTTCAAGAAAAAGTATGAACTTATATTGTACCGATAACTCCTGGTAAGGTGAGATACACCTGAAGACCCACCTGAAGACCCGCCCTGCTCAGCCTCTGATTGTGTGTCCGCTGCCTTTGTTGGTCGGTCAGGTTTAGGCATGAATAAATGTCAAGTTTAGAGCCAATCAGGGCAGAGCAGGGGCAGAAAACAGGTGGGACACTAACGCCTGTTTAAACACATCGCGAGCTTAATGCTGAGAGAAAGCACCAAAACATTTGGGGCTGTGCTGAATTAGAGTTGGGAACCTTTTTGTTGTCCAGTTCAGGCGCTGTTAATGTGAGTTTCTTTATAACCAGTGAAAAAAGAACCCAAAGATAAAAACTGCTTCGACATTACTTTCTTTTCTAAACAGAATATATCAGTATAAAGTAATATATAATATAATATAAAGACTAGAAACATCAATAATATCTATTTTCATTCATCCCATCAGACAGGAGGTCTCACTCTGTGTGTGGAGACTGATTAAATAATCTGTAGATGAATCAATAATAAAATAATCTGACTGGATTACAAATACGCAGTGCACAGTTAGTGTGAGGCCTTATTTTCATACAATCAGTTATTGTCAGACTGCAGCTGATAGTTGAACTTTAATCATTAACAGATTATTCAAGTATCTGCTGGTTAGTTTTATGTTCATTGATTAATTCGGATTATTTGGACATCAGGACAGAGACAGTTTTCATTCTTGAAAAGCAGCTTCTAGAGTTTGAGGAAGATGTGATCCTGCACATGGTGCTGGGCCTGTTCGTCCTGGTTCTTATCTTATCAGAGTTTTGATTAGAAAGAGGCCAGTTGGCAGTCTTAAAGTTCTCTGATAGCAGCGTCTTCTCTCAGCGGAGTTAAAGGTCGCAGCGCTGACATTCTCCACCTGGAGCTCACTGCTGCAGCCGCTGATGATGCTGCAGATAATAAACCAATCAGAGCTTATCTAGCTGCAGCATGTCCAGGTGAACGTTCCAACGCAGCAGGAAGATAAAGAAGAAATGTCCTTAACATGTTTGAGATTAAATCTGACCGAGAAACTACACGTGTGTCAGCACAAACACGTGTTTCAATCCAACATACGACAGAAGAGTCTGATCTCCCATGAGTCTTAGCTGCAGAATTACAGATACTTTTACTGTGGTAAAAGATTTTCTGACTGCTGTAAATACTGTCACTTCCTGTTTTTGTTTTTGTCTGCAGGTCATTTTCCCAACAAGGCGATGCCATCGGCCGGCACACTGCCCTGGCTTCAGGGAATCCTCTGCAACGCCAACAACCCCTGCTTCAGAAACCCGACGCCCGGCGAGTCTCCGGGAGTCGTCGGAAACTTCAACGACTCCATGTGAGCCCGCCCTGTCCTCAGAGCTTTTATTCTGAAACATTTACAAATGTTTGACTTCTGTCTTCCTGCTGTCCTTGCTTTGGTTCCTAACGACAACTTCCTGTTCTCTGATTTCTGTCCAGAATTTCTCGTCTGTTTTCAGACGCCAAGAAGATTCTCCTGTACAGTCAGAACGATAAAAACCTGGACGGATTCAAGGAGCTCACTCAGGCTCTGCAGGCGCTGCAAAACAGCCAGTCAGGTCGGTAACAGTCGGTAACAGTCGGTAACAGTCGGTAACAGTCGGTAACAGACAGTTACGGACAGTAACAGACAGTAACAACCACTGTATCCACGGTTACATATGGATAATCAATAACAGCTATTGGCTAATAATAATATAAGAAGCAGTAAATGAAAGTTGAGTTTTAGGGGAATAATTCTGTTTGTTTTCCTTAATTAATCACATTCATCCAACTTTCACTCCAACCTTGGATTACACCCCCCCCCCAGTGGTTCTGCCCCCCATTTTGAGAACCTGGTTCACAGTCGTCCCTCCCATGCTGTAGGATTTTCAGGCTCATTGAACAAAAAGAATTTTGCTCCTTTGTGTGTTAATTTGCAGTTTTATCTCTGTGGGGGGCGTTCCTTTTCTCTACCTGCTCCGACCTGCCGCTCCCCTCCACTGACCTGCCACTCCCCTCCACCTCCTCCTCCTCCCCACCTCCTCCTCTTCCTCCTCCTCCCCTCCGATGCAGCTCTTTATTCTCTTTAATCACGTCTGATCACACCATCTGAGTTGCTGTGATGTGAGCGGGGGCGGGGAGGCGAGCTGCAGCAGGTTTACCTGTTGGAGCGTCCTGGGGTGATCTCACCTGAGCAGGGATCAGCCTCCGAGCTGTCAGCGAGTCTGCGGACCAGAACCTCAGCGAGTGTGCGGACCAGAACCTCAGCGAGTGTGCGGACCAGAACCTCAGCGAGTCTGCGGACCAGAACCTCAGCGAGTCTGCGGACAAGAACCTCAGCGAGTCTGCGGACCAGAACCTCAGCGTCTGCAGGCCAGAACCTCAGAGAGTCTGCGGACCAGAACCTCAGCGTCTGCAGGCCAGAACCTCAGAGAGTCTGCGGACCAGAACCTCAGACCTGGCCTCAGCAGGCAGTGGTCAGTGTGTCGCCGCCATCACACTGAGAGCTGCTGGGTTCAAACGCAGCTGAACAAACTTCATCCGGACACACAAGGATCTGAACCGGGATCAGTTCACTTCAGGGTTCAGGGTTTCTGACAATCCCTGGCAGATGATTTGTCGGCTGCAGTGTAACAATGAATCATTAATAACGAGGAGTAAACGTCTGATTGGAGCCGACGTGTTTCTCTGTTGGAAGCCCTTACTCATTTGACCAATCACATCACAGCAAGCTGCTGATGTCAGACAGCTCGGCGACCCATCACTAAATCCTCCTGAGGACGGTTTGTCCCTGCGAGGCCTTCATAGCTCCAGCCTGCACTCCTTGCTGCAGCTAACAGTTATTGATTAGTGATCGGCTGATTGGGAGACTCAGTGTGTTCATTGATTTTAAACTATTGACAATATAATTAATAGATTTTATTTTTTTTTTCAGATATTTTGGCCATTTCATCCGTTTTCTTTGCATCAATCTTCATTTGTTTGTAACTTTATTGACAAATGTTGCTATGTTGACCAGGTTCATCACATTTATCCATCTTTAGAAGTTCCTGTGTGACACCAAACAGAGCTCGTATCTTATTGATCACACTGAGCAGATATCTGGACATAGACGCTGGAGCCGTGTTGTTGTTGTGTGACTGATGTCTCCAGTTCCTGTCAGTCCTTGTCACTGCTGCGAGTTTAAACCTGCAGAAGAAGAAAGGGCTAGGGGCGGGGGGGTTATGCGTGCGGGGCTTTGTCCAATAAAAAGCTGCTGGGATCCAGGTTTCCTCCGAGTCCTGCAGACGTGTGACAACACGCAGCCGACGCTGCTTGCGTGTTTTATCACAGACGCCCAAATATGGTCACAGCTTCCCTCTGCCGGTCTGCAGCCTCACCTGGAGCTCAGAGAGCTGATCCAGAGTTCTGGTTTGGTTCACGTCCACAAAACTGACGAGCAGCAGGAGCAGGAGGAGGATCAGGAGGAGGAGGAGGAGGAGGAAGAGGAGCAGGATCAGGAGGAGGAGGAGGAGCAGGAGCAGGAGCAGGAGGCGGCTCAGGTTTCTCTGATTGTGGTTCTTTGTGTTTTCCTGTCTCAGGATTCCAGCTGAAGCACTTCCTGCGGGACAATGAGACTCTGTCTGCGTTCCTGCGGAGCAACGCCTCCTTCCCCGAGCTCAGCGTGGAGCACATCAGGGAGGCCCACGTCAACCTGGAGAAGGTGAGGACCAGTCTGCACATGCTCAGTGTAAACATAAAAACAGACACTGATGAACCTGCGAACCTTCTCTCTCAGATCCTCTTCAAAGGTTTCGGGGTCCACCTGAGGGACATATGTCCCAGGAAGGGGGGCAAGTGGAGTCTGGAGGACTTTGTGATGATTGGTGGATCAGATTATCAGATATTTCTGTAAATATCTAAACGTTTGGACTTTTAGTTTCTTAATGAACTATTGATTGAACTATTGATTATCCCTTTAAATCAATATAAGTCCAGGTCCCCTTAAGGCCAGGACACACCCACCCGACGGCACGGGACACACCGAACCGACTCGAGTCACCGACCTCGCCTGACTGTCCGACGACGTCCAACGGCCGATAATCGGGTTGGTGTGTCCGGGCCTTTACTGAAGTTCTCACTGTGTCTGTCAGTCCGTCCTGCTCTGATGAAGACTGTGGTTGAAAGCTCAGGTAGTAAGTGGAGCTCCAACTAATGATTATTTTCATTCGTCTGTCGATCGTTTTCACCGGTTCACCATTGATTAGTTTGGTCCAGAAAAATATTGATCCTCAAAGATCTTCAGTTTACAGACGTTCACTCTGAGATCAGATTCAGAAACGAGCAGTTAATGAATATCTGCTGATTAATGTAATAATAACTATATGATTATTATAATATTATTATTTTTATTCAAATATAAATAATAATCAGTTAATTCAACTCAAACAATTTCAGTTTGAAAAAAAATTTGATTTGAGTAGAATTAACTAAGTATTATTGTAAAGATAACTTGGGTAAATTAAGTTAATTGAACTTAAAACTAGTCATTATGTTACAGAATTTATCTGAAGAAAGTCTCTTTAATACATTTTATTATTAATTATACAAATATTCCCACTTTCAATTTTAAAACAACTTACAATTAATCGATACTCAATAAGTTTTCTGTGGACCATCTAATGGAACAGTTAACTATAGTTGTTACTCACATTAAATCTTTCCACTTATAAACAAACAGGTTTTACTTCCACATTATTAAAAATCGACTTCTTTTACTGAGCTGTGTCGTTCGGCGTCTGTTTCATTACTTTGATATAAAGAAACATTCCTTCCAAATATCATTCAGGTTCCTGCAGGTTCAGTGTAAGACCTTTAAAGACCTTTATGGATGCACTTTAAGAGCTATTTTACACCCACACGGACAAAGAAAGTACAAAGGATGTCAGTGATCCATGCCTGCAGGGTTGGGAGGGTCTGCCTACTTTAACTGTACTCATTAACTGTACTAGTAATCTAATGATCACACTAACTGGATTACTTTCTGTTACTTTTGAAATTTCCTCAACAGCAAACATTCAAATAAAGACTGAAAAAATCAGATTTTTATGTTTTCTGTGTCAGTGGGTTTCTGACCTGAGGGTTGAGACCCCCACTAGGGGTCGCTAAGGCCTCACAGGTGGTCACGAGATCGTCTTGATCTTAAAGGCTGTAAGAAAACTTTAAAAAAACATCGTCAGTAGGCAGACATCTATTTAAGACTTTAAATTATTTTAATCATTTATTTTATTTTGTTTGGGTACACGCTGCAAAGTTTTGTTTATTCTGTTTATAAGGATATTAGTTTATAAGCAGTATCAGTTACACTGTGAGAGATTAAAGGTGTGTGTTGTGTTGAGTGTTTTCACCTGAAGCTCCAGGTGTGTTACTGTGTGTGTGTGTGTGTGTGTGTGTGTGTGTGTGTGTGTGTGTGTGTGTGTGTGTGTGTGTGTGTGTGTGTGTGTGTGTGTGTGTGTGTGTGTGAGTATGTGTGGGAGGAGGCGTGTCCCGGCGTGTCCTCGCTCTGTACAGTCTCAGTTTTCGGCGCCCGGAGACTCGTTGGTTCTCTGTGAAAGCGAGCTGCACGTCAGCGAGTCTTTTGTGTGCAGAATGTACGAGCTGCTGAAGGAGCGTGTGAACACACCGTCTCCATGGCAACAGGGACACATGACTGTAAAATCCCGCAGTCAGAGACAGTTTACGTCCTCAGTCAGAGGACGTTAGAAAGACAGTGAGTAAATCTCAGGTCAATGAAATGTCCTATTGATTATTAAAATGTGTCTTTGTGTCTCTCAGGGGGAGGTGAAGTCCGATCCCGACGCCGTCAAACAGGTTGCCAGGGCGACCAACAATCTCCTGGACAGTCTGGGTTCGCTGGCAGTAGAGGTAAGAGACAACGCTGTGATGTCTTCAATGTTCAATCAGACGTGTCCTACAGTGGAAAGACAGACAGACAGACACTTCCAGCGTACAGTCGGGTCCTCCAGCGTACAGTCGTGTCCTTCAACATACGGTCGGGTCCTCCAGCGTACAGTCGTGTCCTTCAGCATACGGTCGGGTCCTCCAGCGTACAGTCGTGTCCTTCAGCATACGGTCGGGTCCTCCAGCGTACAGTCGTGTCCTTCAGCATACGGTCGGGTCCTCCAGCGTACAGTCGTGTCCTTCAGCATACGGTCGGGTCCTCCAGCGTACAGTCGTGTCCTTCAGCATACGGTCGGGTCCTCCAGCGTCCTCCAGCACCAGACTGGGGGCACTGGGTTCTCCTGGCAGTGTCTCAGTGTCTCCATGAGTCTTTGTGTCCACATAAAAGCTGTTTTCCTGCAGCAGAGACAGACGAGCTCCCAGCTGAACAAAGACTCAGAGAACAACAAACAGTCAGCATCTTGCTGAGACGCTACAGGCTGCAGCTGGTGGACATGTTGGAGGTCACAGAGACACAGAGGACACTCTTAAAGCTCCACACGACAATAGTAACATTTAATATTCACAGTGAAAGTGGTAAAGAACCCACAATGACGCACCATCAACTCTACAGCTCTACTGGGACATACTGGGAGAGCCTGGAGACAGACTAGAGACAGACTAGAGACAGACTAGGAGAGACTGGGACATACTGGGACAGACTGGGAGAGCCTGGAGACATACAAGAGACATACTGGGAGAGACTAGAGACATACTGAGACATACTGAGACATACTGGGACAGACTGGGAGATTCTGTTTTGTTAAAATAATTTCAGTTCTTCTTCTGTCTGATAATCAGAGTAAAGTTCAGTCACAGTTTGTTGTTTTTCACCCTGAGGTTACACACACACAGACACACACTCTCACACACACGCACACAGACAGACAGACAGACAGACAGACACTCTCACACACACACAGACACAGCTTAATTGGAAACATGTGACTGCTGTGTTTTGTTTGGTTTATGTGGAGAGAGAGAGAGAGAGAGAGAGAGAGAGAGAGAGAGAGAGAGAGAGAGAGAGATCAATTTACAGGAAGCAGTAAAACAAACAGATTGATCGTTTAATCAACTTGAATGATCCTAATAGTCTCTCTTCTATCAGTTCATGAGCTTTATTTTGAAATTCTTGTTAGTTTTTTATTTCAGTTTATGGACAAATTTTTTTGTGTTCACAGTCTAAACCAACTTTATTTAAAACTCATCGCTGTCATTTGGAAACCCAGTGTGTCCCAGAAGGTGGACTCTGACAAGGCGGGAAACTAACAGTTAACATTTCCAGAAACTTCTGACCTACTTTCATCACTGTGAGCTTTTCACAGAAAAACAGCAACATGTTATAGAGCAGCATAAAACACTAAAGTTCAGCTCTTTGTCCATTAATATACTCATTAATTAATAATCATTCGCTGGAAGTTACCGACACGCTGCCGTTAACTTGTAGTTCGTCTAAAAAGAGACAGTGTTTCACATTTTATTAGTTATCGGACGTCTGGATCTTAAGTTAGCAGAGAAACAAGCTGAGCTAACGTTACGTCCTTTGTCGGGACGGGACGTCCTTTGTCTGTCCAACAGCGTGGGAGAAGCAGTGATTGTTAAGGTGGAACTGCTTTATTCAGTGTGTTTAGTGGTTTTAATCAGCGGGTCTGTTTGTGTTGGAGAGGAGGAGACCTCTGTGGATCATTGGGCTCCCGGTAGAAACCTCCTGAACCATGAACACTGAAGGAATCCTAACCGGGAGAAGCTGACTGCAATGACGCCAATGGTGGTGAAGACAACAAGTCCCGTGATCCCACGCTGCTTCACCACCTCATCACACTTCATATTTTCTTATTGTTCTGATGTGAGAGGCCCCCTAGTGGCAGAAAGTACAGATTTAATTTATATAATTAACGTAATTAACAGGCAGCTGTAAGAATCCTACAAACAGAGATAGAAACATCTAAAACTTAAACCAGCTTTCATCCTGTGACAGTTTCACTTCTGCTGAAGTTTCAAAGTGTCGACCTGTAGTAACCTCTTCCTCCTCCTCCTCCTCCTCCTCCTCCTCTTCCTCCTCCTCCTCCTGGAGCTGCAGGAAACAACAATAATCCTCTGTCTGAACCTCTTTTAGTTTCCCTCCACTGACAGCTGGAGTCACTGCTGACTGCGCACATTCACACTCAACGTTCAACTGTCTTTTCCTCTTTTCTTCCTCAAATAAAAGCTTACAACAGGGACTAACAGTGACTGTAAAGGATCAGCATTATTATACGTCGTTAATGCAGTAATAACACTTCATTAAGTACCTCTCATGGAGTTCCATCAGTGCCTTTAGGCTGATGTTGTATCAAAACCAGCTTTCGCTGTGAGAACTTGTACCTCTCACAATCCTTTTCTTCAGTCACAAATAATAAAAGTTTAAATAAATACAGAAACTAGAAGACCAAACGCATCCGTCGGTACCAACCACGTCACGCTAGCATGTCAGGAAGGAGGCTAAATAACACTCCAGTTGGGCTAAATGTTGGCAATCCATTGACCTCTGACCTCAAGATCTCTGAATGAAAATGAGTCTATGGGAACCCATGAGTCTCCCCTTTCCATCATTCCCATCCATTTTATGGATAAATTGGGAATGATGAAGCTCAGACATACTTGGAGCCACTCCTGCAGAAGTCAGTGCCCCAGTCAGAAGAATCTGTCATTTACATTTTAAAATGTTTAGAAGCTAAATTTGTCGTCTTTTATCTGAAGTCAGCAGAAATCAGCTGGTCATCAGTCAGAGCTTCAACAGGAAGTGTTCGTCACTTCAGTGTCAGCTATTATTTTTTGGAGCAGAGGTCAGACGACTCATTTTTAAATTTCTATTTATTTCATGAGTTTGTTCTCTGGTTTATGGGGCAAAGTGAAGCTCACTGAAGAGTTTGTTCGCAGGTGTTAACGGGTTAAAACATGTAAAGATAGTGTGGTTGTGAGTTGGTGTTTAAGCAGAAGCTGCTGAGGTCAGATAAAGCAGTAGTTGCACAGAATATTCTGGGTATCAATATCAAAGGAAATCAGTGGGCGGGGCCACCAATCCATCCTCTCCAATCAGAGCACCTGAGAGAATTTCCCCTAGTGCCAATAAAAGCCTTTGTTTATGTCTATTTATTTAATGATTGATTTATGTTGTTATATTTAACTGATGATATGTAGAATCCAGTGTCGGGTCTCGGACCAGTCTAACCAGTGTCCCCTCTGTCTGTGGTCTAGCTGGCTGGTATGAAGAGCTGGATCGACCTGAGGAACGAGATCATCTTCCTGACGCAGAACGCCACGTCGTCGCCCAGCACCATGTACCAGGCGGTCTCCAGGATCGTGTGCGGCCACCCCGAGGGCGGCGGCCTGCAGATCAAATCCCTCAACTGGTACGAAGACAGCAACTACAAAGCTCTGTTCGGAAACCACAACAGCAGCGAGGACGAGCCTGCGGCGCTCTATGACAACTCCTCCAGTGAGTACTGGTTCTATGTATTCTGGATTATATACTGGTTTATATACTGGATTATATTCTGGATTAGATACTGGATTAGATACTGGTTTATATACTGGATTAGATACTGGTTTATATACTGGTTTATATTCTGGATTAGATACTGGATTAGATACTGGATTAGATACTGGATTATGTACTGGTTTATATACTGGATTAGATACTGGATTAGATACTGGTTTAGATACTGGATTAGATACTGGTTTATATACTGGTTTATATTCTGGATTAGATACTGGATTAGATACTGGTTTATATACTGGATTAGATACTGGTTTATATACTGGATTATGTACTGGTTTAGATACTGGATTAGATACTGGTTTATATACTGGATTAGATACTAGATTATATTCTGGTTTATATACTGGTTTATAAACTGGTTTAGATACTGGATTACGGGTATCGGGTTTATACTGGTACAGGTTTTATTTCCAGTATTGACTGAAAGTAATTCTGGATTTCTTTTTATTATTATTTAATCTTTTTTGTTGTTATATTTGTTTTCATCTTTAATTATTGATGATGAATTATATATTTATATTTATTCTTAACCACTCTCATACAGCTTTGGTCAAGATGTTGATCATTAAGATACAGTTGAAACAAACCCGAGTCTAAATGAAATTACATTACTTTTATTTTGAAAGAACCAGGAAATACCTGCTTTATTCTGAAACTCTGTGTGTTTGCAGCTCCGTACTGTAACAGTCTGGTGAAGAACATGGACTCAAACCCGATGTCCAGGATGATCTGGCAGGCTCTGAAGCCCCTGCTGATGGGGAAGATCCTTTACACCCCCCACACCCCCGCCACCCAGAGGGTCATCCACGAGGTATGACATCACTTCCTGTCTCATCACTTCCTGCTTCCTGCAGGAGGAACTCTCAGTCTCACCTGTCTGTCTGTGTCTTTGGTGCGTTCAGGTGAACCGGACCTTTCAGGAGCTTGGTGTGTTCAGGGACCTCGGCGGGATGTGGGAAGAAATGAGACCAAAAGTGTGGAAATTCATGGAGAACAGCGAGCAGATGGACATCATCAGGGTAAACCGGCTCCGCCCACAAGTCTGCGTCATCAGTCATTATTTTATTATTATTATTATTATTATTATATATTTGTTATTCTTTATTTATTATTTATCGGTGATTTATCATTATCAGTTCAGAGGACAGATGTTTCAGCCCATAGTTTGATCATATTGATCGTCTTGATCAGCAGTCAGTCAGTGCTGTCAGTGTCTCCATGGAGGATCAATCCCATTGTTCTGTCCTGATCATTCCAGACTCTGCTGAAGAACAACGTCACTGCCCGCTTCTTCCACGCTCAGCTGACCGACACCGACTGGACCGTCGCCGATATCTCCAACTTCCTATCCAAGCAGGCAGAGGACCCAAGGCCGTCGGGCAGCGCCCTCACCTGGAGGGACGTGTTCAATGAGACTGACCAGGCCATCATGAGCATCTCCCGCTTCATGGAGGTCAGAGTTTAATCCACAACCATGTAACAGGTCATCTGTCCTCACAGGGTCATGTGAGCCTCACTGGTGTCAGAGACAGCTGTCCAGTAGCTAGCAGTGTTAAGCTAACTGCAGCGCTCACACCATCATAGACATCAGACAAAACAGTGACGGGACAAATACAAGACTGAATGCTGTGAAATGTCTCACTATATCTGTGACGTTCCTACACCACGAACGACGCTGCTGCCTCGCATCGCTCCTGGCTAGTCGAAAGCAACCGTTAGCTTTGCGCTGTTGTCATAATTTATTGTCAGCGTTTGTCAGAATACATAAATTAGTATCATCGATCACGTTATCTGGGGAAGCTAAGGTTAGCCAACCAACATATGCACTCAGTTAGTATTTTGCTCGGGATAACGTTGACGTTGACTTTGCACAATGCGTGAGCTCAGCATGTTTCAATCTATAACTCTGATGATACTCTCTGTATCGCAGTGATTTGTGTTCAGTGCCAGCAGGTGAGCATTCAGGACTGCATTATCAGTGCTCTCTCCGTATGTGTCTCAGTGTGTGAACCTCGACAAACTGGAGCCGGTCTCCACTGAGGAACGACTGGTCAACCAATCCATTCTGCTGCTGGAGGACAGGAAGTTCTGGGCGGGTATCGTGTTCCCGGACGTCGACCCCAACGCTACCGAGCTGCCGGCCAAACTCAACTACAAGATCCGCATGGACATCGACAATGTGGAGCGGACCAATAAGATCAAAGACGCGTAAGGACACACACACACACACACACACACACACACACACACAAATGAAAGAGTTCCTGTTCCTGAATGGTGGGAACGACCTCACTGACCCTGAAAAAGACTCCCAGCACAGAGAGCTGAGGTGTGTTTGTTTACAGGCTCTGTGAGTTAGGACAGTAAATACTGTCCCTTTAATCTGTCTCACTGCGGCGATATAAGCCCACAATAATAATAATTTTACTTTCTATGTAATGGCTTTTTAGTTTTCCCTTTAAAGTTACTGTACTTCTTCATCAAACCTGTTGTCTCTCCTCCTCTTCAGGTACTGGGATCCAGGTCCTCGTGCTGACCCGTTTGAGGACATGCGGTACATCTGGGGCGGGTTCTCATACCTGCAGGACGTTATTGAGCAAGGCATCATCAGAGCGATGACGGGCACCAAGGAGAAGACAGGCGTCTACATCCAGCAGATGCCGTATCCCTGCTACGTAGACGACATGTAAGAATACTAACCAGATATCAGCTGCTCACCTGCAGAGTCCCCTTAGCAGCCCTAACCTGCTCCCCTTCTGTCCCCTGTTTCAGTTTCCTGCGGGTGATGAGCCGCTCCATGCCTCTCTTCATGACTCTGGCCTGGATGTACTCGGTGGCGATCATCCTGAAGAGCGTGGTGTATGAGAAGGAAGCCAGGCTGAAGGAGACGATGAGGATTATGGGATTGAATAACGGCATCCTGTGGTTTAGCTGGTTCATCAGCAGCCTGATTCCTCTGCTGATCAGCGCTGGACTGCTGGTGCTGCTGCTCAAGGTGACATCCATGGACACACAAAACCCAGACCAGGGACGCACAATACCCAGACCAGGGACGCACAATACCCAGACCAGGGACGCACAATACCCAGACCAGTATATTTAATGTCAATCAACGGCCAGCGTTCCTCACTTGTTATCAATCTGTCTTTGTCCTGAACTCGTTGTGTCCTTCTGTACAGAAGGGGAACCTGCTGCCCTACAGCGACCCTGGAGTGGTCTTCCTATTCCTGGGTTCCTTCGCCGTGGTAACCATCATGCAGTGCTTCCTCCTCAGTACGGCCTTCGCCCGCGCTAACCTGGCCGCCGCCTGCGGAGGAATAATCTACTTCACCCTTTACCTGCCCTACGTGCTCTGCGTTGCTTGGCAGGACTACATTGGCTTCGGAGCCAAAGTCTTCGCCGTAAGACACCAAAACTCTCTAACGTTATGACGCTGTGTTTTTATTGGACAGAGTGAGTCAAGAGTGTCCTCCTTCCCCGCAGAGCCTTCTGTCTCCTGTGGCGTTTGGGTTCGGCTGTGAGTACTTTGCTCTGTTCGAAGAGCAGGGAGTCGGTATCCAGTGGAAAAACCTGGTCTCGAGTCCTCTGGAGGAGGACGACTTCAGCCTCCGCACCGCCATCATCATGATGTACTTCGACTCCATCTTGTACGGAGTCCTCACCTGGTACATCGAGGCTGTGTTTCCAGGTGAGACCTAACATCAGACGCAGATCCAGTTTACTGATCCAGATCCAGTTTTATTAAGATTAATTTTCTGTGCGTTTCAGGTCAGTATGGGATCCCTCGACCCTGGTATTTCCCCTTCACCAAGTCCTACTGGTTCGGAGAGAAAGACACAAAGTCCAACAAGGTCCCTCTGAACCGGAAAGAAAACGCAGAAGGTGAGATTGCTGTAATGTAGATTGACCACACGGTGGCGCTACTGAAATAGAAAAATACAAGTGTTATTTTAATCTCCTGTACTCAATGTAAGACTTTTAATCTGAAGGAGACTTCCTGTTCTTCCAGCTGTGTGTATAGAGGAGGAGCCTGCTCACCTGGAGCCCGGTGTCTACATCGAGAACCTGGTGAAGGTTTATCGGCATGGGAAGAAACTGGCGGTGGATGGACTGACACTCGGCTTCTACGAGGGACAAATCACCTCCTTCCTGGGACACAACGGAGCTGGGAAAACCACCACCATGTGAGTTCTGATCAGCCAGCAGCAGTAATCAATACACATTTAATAAAGCACTAAAATAAGGTGGTGGTGGTTAGATCAGATACACGCCCAATTCAACAACAACTCCTAATGGTGTCAGTTTTGTGCGTGTGATGCTATCTGAGGAAGTTACCATACTGTGTATGAACTACTGGTTCTCTGCTTCCTTTGTGGTGCTGGAGAGAGACTGCTCTCATGGGCTGTAGCTTATTGGTCCCCCGACAACAACCAGATATTTATCCTGCTAGAAATTATTCTGGTGTCAGTGAGCACCAATTTGCCTCTGATGTAGGGACATCAAATCAGGACTAAAATTATATAGTGTGAACTCAGCTTATAGATCCAGATCAGGTGTCTTTAACTCAACCATCTCCCCTGCAGGTCCATCCTGACCGGTCTGTTCCCTCCAACCTCTGGTACCGCATACATCCTAGGCAGAGACATCCGGACTGAACTGAGTGCCATCAGACAGAGTCTGGGAGTCTGTCCCCAACACAACGTCCTCTTCAGCATGTGAGTCCTCAGTCTGTGTTTAGGTCTTTTATTTTGAAAAGGTTCCCGTCCAGTTGTTCATGTGTTGTGGCGCTCCCTGCAGGCTGACGGTGGAAGAACATATCTGGTTCTATGGCCGGCTCAAAGGCCTCTCAGAGGAACAGGTCAAAGGTGAGATCCAGCAGATCCTGCAGGACACCGGGCTACCGCACAAACGCACCTCCAGGGCCAGCGCACTGTCCGGGGGCATGCAGAGGAAGCTATCTGTGGCTCTGGCCTTTGTAGGTGGGTCAAAGGTTGTGATCCTGGATGAGCCAACTGCCGGCGTCGACCCCTACGCCCGCAGAGGGATCTGGGATCTGCTGCTTAAGTACAGACAGGGTGAGTAGTCCCGTTGGGTCGGTTTAATCGCTAGTTTTTACTCGGCGGCCGGACTTCAACTTCCTGTCTGCTCTCAGGTCGGACCATCATCCTGTCCACGCACCACATGGACGAGGCAGACATCCTTGGCGACCGGATCGCCATCATCTCCCACGGGAAGCTGTGCTGCGTGGGCTCATCCCTGTACCTGAAGAACCAGCTGGGGACAGGCTACTACCTGACGCTTGTGAAGAAAGAACCAGAGCCTTCCCTCAGCTCCTGCAGGAACTCATCCAGCACCGTGTCCTTCAGCAAGAAGGTCTGAGCCGCACCCTGATCCCTGACTGCAACCCCACACCCTCTGTCTGTGCAGTATTTTGTCCTCTATCTGTGCAGTATTTTTTCTGCAGTATTCTGCCAGTAGCAGTACTTTGAAACGTCTGTGTTGTGGGTGTTTCAGGAGGAGGAGTGCGCCTCGGTCAGCAGCAGTGATGCCGGACTCGGCAGCGAACATGAAAGTGAGGCCGCTACCATCGGTGAGCTCTCTGTTCCTGTGGAGCGTTTTATTTATTCACCTTCAGGTGGGTCTGATCTGTGTCTCATGTCTCCGTCCTCAGAGAACGGCCCTGCGGCGTCCATCTGTGATGTCCCCTTCATCCACCCTGACGTGTCCCTGGTCTCGGGTCTGATCCTGTGTCATGTCCCCGCCGCCCGTCTGGTGGAGGACCTTGGACACGAGCTGACCTATGTCCTGCCCTACAGTGCCGCCAAGGACGGGGCCTTCGTGAAGCTCTTCAAAGACCTGGACCTCAAGCTGCCTGACCTCGGCATCTCCAGCTACGGAGTGTCTGACACCACGCTGGAGGAGGTGACGAAGTTTAGAGACATTATGACCAAGCCATTAAGGACATAATCCGATTTTTATTGACAAATACAACAAATATTAATGATCATGATATAAAATATTTAACCTCTCTGTTCTTCAGCTGCTTAAATATACCATTACTTAAATAACAGATTTTTTAGTAAACAGTAAAGTGATGTCATTTACAGCTCAGATCTTAAAGGACACTTTAGTAGATAAACACAAAGTTAAATTATGTTGAATTAATATTTTTATGATTCTTTTTAACACAAGCATCTGACATATATTGTATTATAATTCTAACTTTAAATGATTTTTAATGTTTCATAGATTTTCCTGAAAGTGGCTGAAGATAATGGAGTCGACACCGAAGTGCCTTCAGGTAAGGAGTGACCTCTGACCTTTGACCTAAAATAAATCATCACTCTGTGTGTGTGTGTGTGTGTGTGTGTGTGTGTGTGTGTGTGTGTGTGTGTGTGTGTGTGTGTGTACATCCTGACATTTGTTAAAGATAACATTAAATGTGTATATGTTCAGATGGGACACTTCCTGTTCGGAGGCGGAGGAGGACTCACGCCTTCGGTGGAGGAGACCATCAGAGCTGTCTGAGACCTCTAACGGAGGACGACAACAATGACTGCAACGAGTCTGACGGAGATCCTGGTACTCACCACTTCCTGGTTCTTTAATAACAAACATTAATATTCTGTAATAACTGAACACAACATTTCTAACAGAGTGAGACCTCCTGCCATCAGCTGTATGAACACTGTCACATTACGTACAACTGTTAGCATACTGTTAGCATAGCAGCTGATAGCAGTAAGGATTCTTTTGTGTCATGTGACCTCAGAGTGCCGGGAGACAGACTGGCTGAACTGCACTGACGGTAAGGGCTCGTACCAGGTGAGCGGGTGGAGTCTGAGGAGGCAGCAGTTTGTGGCTCTGATTTGGAAACGTTTTTTGTACGCTCGACGCTCCAGGAAGGGCTTCTTCGCTCAGGTACGCTCAAACCTGCTCCTCATTTACAGTAATAAGTATAATAATGGGTTCTTTTTATTCTGAATTTAATCTGATGAAACATTTGTTTGTAGATTGTTCTTCCTGCTGTATTCGTGTGCATCGCTCTGGTCTTCAGTCTCATCGTCCCCCCATTTGGAAAATATCCAAGTCTGGAGCTGCAGCCCTGGATGTACGAGGACCAAGTCACCTTCATCAGGTACACAACTGTCCTGAACTGTCCCACACTGCAGTAAACTGTCCCACACTGCTTTAAACTGTCCCACACTGCTTTAAACTGTCCTATACTGTACTACATTACACTACCCTGTCCCACGCTACTGTAAACTGTCCCACACTGCTTTAAACTGTCCCACGCTGCAGTAAACTGTCCCACACTGCTTTAAACTGTCCCACGCTGCTTTAAACTGTCCCACACTGCAGTAAACTGTCCCACACTGCTTTAAACTGTCCCACACTGCAGTAAACTGTCCCACACTGCTTTAAACTGTCCCACACTGCAGTAAACTGTCCCACACTGCTTTAAACTGTCCCACACTACAGTAAACTGTCTCGTACTGTACTAAACTGTCCCACCCTGTTGTTTGTGTGTCAGTGACGACGCTCCCGGAGACGCTAACATGCAGAAGTTATTGAGCGCTCTGTTGGACACTCCAGGCTTTGGGACTCGCTGCATGGACGGACATCCCATCCCGTAAGAGGACCTCAGTAACTGATTATTATATTACAATATGTTATTGCTCCTGAGTTCTGTCTCTTTAAGGGTTAATCAATCACACATATTATTTGATTACCCCTTGCCCCCCAGAGAGGCCCCCTGTACAATGGGCGATGAGGACTGGCAGACTCCTGAGGTCCCAGAGAGCGTCCAGCAGATCTTCAGCTCCGGTAACTGGACCATGGACAATCCGTCTCCAGCTTGTTTCTGCAGCTGCGACGGCAAGAAGAAGATGCTTCCGGACTGTCCCGCTGGAGCTGGAGGACTGCCCCCCCCTGAGGTCAGACCGCCTGATGTAGACCTGAACCACCACTGCACCCATGTCCTCACTTATATATACTTATATACTCTCTCTATATATAATAATATATATCTATATATTTATGTTTAGTTTTTAGTGTATTCATTTTTTAAAATTACTCTTTTGTCGTCATTGTTGTCGCTGTCGTCGTCGTTGTCGTTGTTGTTGTTGTTGTTGTCGTTGTCGTCGTCGTTATCCAGATGAAGCTGAGCGCCACCGACACTCTACAGAACCTGACAGGCAGAAACATCTCAGACTACCTGGTGAAAACCTATGCTGAGATCATCGGCAAGAGGTACCACACACCTGGAAATACATCACAGTACAGATACTACAGTAATACTACAGATACTACAGATACTACAGTAATACTACAGATACTACAGTAATACTACAGATACTACAGATACTACAGTAATACAACAGTAATACAACAGATACTACAGTAATACTACGGTAATACTTCAGTGATACTACAGTAATACTACGGTAATACAACAGATACTACAGTAATACTTCGGTAATACTACAGTAATACTACAGTAATACTACGGTAATACAACAGATACTACAGTAATACAACAGTAATACTTCGGTAATACTACAGTAATACTACAGTAATACTACGGTAATACAACAGATACTACAGTAATACTACGGTAATACTACAGATACACAGTAATACTACAGTAATACTTCAGTAATACTACAGTAATACGGTAATACTACGTAATACTACGGTAATACTACAGTAATACTACAGATATTATGGTAATACTACAGATATTAAGGTAATACTACAGTAATACTACGGTAATACTACAGATACACAGTAATACAGTAATACTACGGTAATACTTCAGTAATACTACAGTAATACGGTAATACTACGGTAATACTACAGTAATACTACGGTAATACTTCAGTAATACTACGGTAATACTACGGTAATACTACAGTAATACTACGGTAATACTACAGATACTACAGTAATACTACGGTAATACTACGGTAATACTTCAGTAATACTACGGTAATACTACGGTAATACTACAGTAATACTACAGTAATACTACAGATATTACGGTAATACTACGGTAATACTACAGTAATACTACGGTAATACTTCAGTAATACTACGGTAATACTACGGTAATACTACAGTAATACTACAGATATTACGGTAATACTACGGTAATACTACAGTAATACTACGGTAATACTACAGATACTACAGTAATACATCAGATACTACGGTAATACTACGGTAATACTACAGTAATACTTCAGTAATACTTCAGTAATACTACAGATATTACGGTAATACTACGGTAATACTACGGTAATACTACAGTAATAGTACAGTAATACTACAGTAATAGTACAGTAATAGTACAGTAATACTACAGTAATACTACAGTAATACTTCAGTAATACTACAGATACTACGGTAATACTACAGTAATACTACGGTAATACTACAGATACACAGTAATACAGTAATACTACGGTAATACTTCAGTAATACTACAGTAATACGGTAATACTACGGTAATACTACAGTAATACTACGGTAATACTACAGATACTACAGTAATACATCAGATACTACAGTAATACTACGGTAATACTACGGTAATACTACAGTAATACTTCAGTAATACTTCAGTAATACTACAGATATTACGGTAATACTACGGTAATACTACGGTAATACTACAGTAATAGTACAGTAATACTACAGTAATACTACAGTAATAGTACAGTAATACTACAGTAATACTACAGTAATACTTCAGTAATACTACAGATACTACGGTAATACTACGGTAATACTACAGTAATAGTACAGTAATACTACAGTAATACTACAGTAATACTACAGTAATACTTCAGTAATACTTCAGTAATACTACAGATACTACGGTAATACTACGGTAATACTACGGTAATACTACAGTAATAGTACAGTAATACTACAGTAATACTTCAGTAATACTTCAGTAATACTACAGATACTACGGTAATACTACGGTGATACTACGGTAATAGTACAGTAATAGTACAGTAATAGTACAGTAATACTACAGTAATAGTACAGTAATAGTACAGTAATAGTACAGTAATACTACAGTAATACTACAGTAACAGTAATAGTAACATTTTGCTTGTGTTTCAGTTTGAAGAACAAGGTCTGGGTGAATGAATTCAGGTTAGTCTTCTTAATTCTTCTGTATTTTAATTTGTGAATCTTGAAGTCAGCTTCCTGTTTTTCACTGTTTGGATCTTGTTGTTGTTGTTTTCTCTCTGCAGGTACGGAGGCTTCTCATTGGGTGCGAGGAGCACACAGGTCCTCCCACCGGCCAATGAGATCGACGACGCCATTGAACGAGTCAGGAAGATCTTTGAGTTACAGAAGGTCAGTCATCGATCAATCAGTCAGCAAGAACAGAGTTCACCAATGAAAGCCTCTTAGTGTGAAGGTCTGTGGTAACTGTTTAGGTTTGTTTTCAGGGCGCGGCTGCAGATCGATTCCTCGACAGTTTGTCAGGTTTCATCAACGGTTTGGACACGAAGAACAATGTGAAGGTGAGAAACCGCCACAGTGATCAGAGCGACCGTAAAAAAGATAATCATGAAAGAAAGTACATTTAAGAAATGCTGATTTAAAAAAAGTAGTTCAGTTGATTTTAATTCTCATAAATATTCAACATTTCAAAGCTGCTTTGTTCCACTTCCTTCCTGTTCTCAGACTTTCAGAATAAGAGCACCATGGTATTGGTGTGATTGTCCAGTCAAGCTGTTGAACTTTATCAATGTGCAGAGTCGGGTTGTTCAGACGTCTCTGAATGGAGACGAGCACGCTCAAAAGCGACATTCATTCATTGCAAAATCATCTAATTTTAAAAATGACTTATACACACAATGAAGCTTCTTTTATTGTGAACAATCATCGTTATTGTTCCTCTGATTGATTCTGGTCATTGATGAATAATAATATTGATCTCTGTCCTCAGATCTGGTTCAATAACAAGGGCTGGCACAGTATCGGAGCGTTCATCAATGTGATGAATAACGGCATCCTGAGAGCGAACCTTCCTGCAGGCAGCGACCCCAGCAAGTACGGCATTAGTGCCTTCAACCACCCTCTGAACCTCACCAAGGAGCAGCTGTCCCAGGTCGCACTGTGAGTACACAGGAAACACACCTGACAGGAAACACAGACAGGAAGTGCACCTGACAGGAAACACACCTGACCACAACCAGGCGTCACCGTACAGAAGATAGTGTATGTGTCTAACTCTCTCTGTCTCCAGGGTAACCACCTCTGTGGATGTCCTGGTGTCCATCTGCGTGATTTTCGCTATGTCCTTCGTCCCAGCCAGCTTTGTAGTCTTCCTCATCCAGGAGCGGGTCAGTAAGGCCAAACACATGCAGTTCATCAGTGGAGTGCAGCCACTGCTCTACTGGGTGGCCAACTTCATCTGGGACATGGTGAGACACAAAACAAACACACCCTCACTGTAACAGAGTGTGTGTATATCAGAGTGTGTAAAAATTGTTGTTTGTGTCTCTGCAGTGTAACTACGTCGTCCCAGCAGCGCTGGTCATCTTCATCTTCATCTGTTTCCAACAAAAAGCCTACGTCTCCTCCACCAACCTGCCGGTGCTCGCCCTGCTGCTGCTGCTCTATGGGTACTTCACTGCACTGCACTACACTGTACTACACTGCACTACACTGTACTACACTGCACTACACTGCACTACACTGTACTACACTGTACTACACTGCACTACACTGTACTACACTGTACTACACTGTACTACACTGCACTACACTGCACTACACTGCACTACACTGTATTAACACAACACTCTTTCCCACACCACACACTGCACTAGTAGCAGGTCCTGAGCTGAAAAGTGTTTCCTTGCCCTTGTCTCCAAGGTCTTGCTCATGGTGGTACTGTTGGGTCTCTGTAAATAATGTTATAAAGAGTTCAGTCTAGACCTGCTCTATTTGAAAAGTGTCCTGAGATAACTTCTGTTATGAATTGGCGCTATACAAATAAAATTGAATTGAACTGAATTGAATTGAATTGAGCTTTCAGTCGTGTCCCGGGGTCGTGACCTTTCCAACCTTTGTTTCCAGCTGGTCCATCACTCCTCTGATGTACCCCGCCTCCTTCTTCTTTAAGATCCCCAGCACCGCCTACGTCGTCCTCACCAGCGTCAACATCCTCATCGGCATCAACGGCAGCATCTCCACCTTTGTCATGGAGCTGTTCGGAAACAACGTCAGTCAGCACGGACGACTCTAATCTGAAACCTAATCTAGACTGCAGCTTTAATCTGAAGATCAGCTTTAATCTGAAAATCAGCTTTAATCTAAAGATCAGCTTTAATCTGAAAATCAGTTTTAATCTGAAGATCAGCTTTAATCTGAAAATCAGCTTTAATCTAAAGATCAGCTTTAATCTGAAAATCAGTTTTAATCTGAAAATCAGCTTTAATCTAAAGATCAGCTTTAATCTGAAAATCAGTTTTAATCTGAAGATCAGCTTTAATCTGAAAATCAGTTTTAATCTGAAGATAAATTTTAATCTGAAGATCAGCTTTAATCTGAAGATCAGTTTTAATCTGAAGGTGGTTTAACTTCCTGTTGCAGGAAATTGGAGGAATCAACGACATCCTGAAGAACGTCCTCCTCATCTTCCCCCACTTCTGTCTCGGCCGAGGACTCATCGACATGGTGAAGAACCAGGCGATGGCCGACGCCCTCGAGAGATTTGGTAGCGCACGCGCGCATGCGCACGCACACACGCACACACACGCGCACACACACACACACACACACAGAGTTGTTGTTTACTGTTTGGTTGTTTGGTTGTTTACTGTTTGGTTGTTTGGTTGTTTACTGTTTGTTGTTTGCTTGTTTCAGGTGAGAACAGCTTCCGCTCTCCTCTGGAGTGGGACATGGTGGGAAAGAACCTGTTTGCGATGGCTGTAGAGGGAGTGGTCTTCTTCATCATCACCGTCCTCATTCAGTACAGATTCTGCATCAAACCCAGGTAAACAACCCACACACACACACACACACACACACACACACACCCCTGTCACTCAATGTGGCCACGCCCTGAATTATTCAGACCTTTAATCCTTGATATGATTTAAAGAGGGAGGGTACATTAACAGTGAGACTGTAAACATGTTAAACACAGCTCACTG